ACAGGAAGCCCCTGCCCCGGGCTTCCTGGAATCAGCCGCTGATCAGTTTCAGCAGCAGCTGACTTGGGGATGCCTGGGGTTCTTAAGTTGAATTTGTATGTAAGTCAGAACTGGCGCCCAGATTCAGCCACTGTTGAAGCTGATCAGTTTCAGCAGCGGCTGAATCTGGACGCCAGTTCCGACTTACATACAGATTCAACTTAAGAACAAACCTACAGTCCCTATCTTGTACGTAACCCGGGGACTGCCTGTACACTTCATATTTATGCCCCAGCACTGCAACTGACTTTGTGCATGTCAATTCCTGTGGTTGTAGAGCCACAGGCAGTTACTTGCAGGACAAGGCCTTATTTTGAATGTGCTTTGAAAAGAAGTTCAGTTCTAGATTTGGTTTCATAAATACAGAAAACACTTCAACATACCACTAAGAAACATTCATTTCTTGAATCAACGTAGTATAAATTTAAAACCAACCTCTAGTTGTTACCAATTGTTGTACCAAGAATAATAATGAAAACTATTTACCTAAAAGTGCATTTTTTCCATGATCATCTGGCAAAAACCGCTTGTCAACAGCACAGACTAAAATATGCTCAGGAAGATTTGGAGACTTGGCTCCTACCAGCAAGAAGCCTGCTGGGATATCAATTTGTTCCATGCACAGCGATACTAATCGCAAATCCTTGCCTGCTTGACAAAAACCTAAAAAGAAAAAAGAGGTGATTAAATGTTTATGAGTAGTTTATTGTCACTTTTGCTTTTGTTTGCTTCAGCTATGCAAAGCCGCCAATGAAGATGTTTCCCATAGTGTAGAAATATCTAATTTAAATATTTTAGAACACACATACAGTATGTAAATATACTATCACTTGGGAGCTAATCCAAAACCTACTGAAGTCAGTGGAATGATTTCCACTGAGCATAGCTCAATATGGGCTTTGGATCAGGTCATTAATAAGGATACAGATCCACTGGCTGAGGGCGTCAGAGAAAATAAATAGCCATTATTTACCTAAAAGGCTTCTGACTGGAGAAAGCAAAACTATGCAGATCAGAAATCAAATGGCTAAAAGGATTATATCTTTTCCACCGTTTAAGCCGAATTTTAAATGGAAGAAACCCTAACACTCAAAAATATTTAAAAGCCCTATGATATGTTAAACTCATCTACTGGTTCATTGCCATCTATACCATACATGTCACTTCAAACTAAACAAACAAAAAGTTGCAAGTTCATAAAAACAAAGCAAAGAAACCTCTTAAATTATTCCCAGGGAGTTCTAGCTTCTTTGCAATAGACTGTAGGCTTTTTAAGGGGGTCAGTCTTGACCTTTGTGTTTTGATGCTAAACAAATATAATAATAAAAAAGACTGCCATATTTATTAAGTGTTTATTACGAAAACACAGTAAAAATCATTAGTACTTTATGTAATTTGATCCTAAATTATATCTACACCCACCCTTTATGCTCAGGTATACAGGAATTAAAAAAATTAAACAATTTATTATTCAAGTAGAAGGATTGGCAGGGCTTCAACTTCTATTTTCCATCTGTGTATACATTGACTTTTTTTAATATATGCTTATAAAAAGTTACTGCTTATGTGATGCACTCCATCATTTAGAACTTTATGAGGTTTCTTTGAAGAAAAATAGGCATGTAAAAGCACAGCTCAGCAGTGAGTTTTTCAGAAGATCGTTGTTGTTTGTTTGCCCCTCCCCTCATTAAAAAACTATACACAGCCATATTAGACCTAAAGACATTTTGAGAAACTCAAAACTTATTTGTTTAGGCATAGTTGATGTTATCATTGGTTCATAATGTAGGTTAACATGATGGTAAAGTTGACTTTGAGTTCTTTTTTAAGTTTAAAAATAAAAATCCCATTTATGGGCAAGTAAACCATCCAATGCATTGGACTTACAAGGATCAAAATGACTGGCTACTTTCTCTCTTGACATAAGACAGTGAACCTCCATTTTAGTTCCTAAACTATTTACACCCACAGAGAATTTTGTCCTACTCTCTTCCCTGAATAACTTCTAGTTCTGTTTTGAAAACAAGACAGACAGACACCAGGGGGAGCCTTCTTCATCTCGTCTCATCCACAGAAAGGGATATTGTGACAAGGGACCTTTTGGTCTCTCTCTTCACAGGCAATGACACTATTAGTGGAAGCATTGTAAAGCCTGGTCTAAGCCTATTTTTCACTTCTGCAGGTGCAGAAAAGGTGCGACAGCAATAAGAGGCTGGCCTGACCCGTCGGTAAGCTGCAACAGGAGGTTGTAAGTCGCGTCGTTTCAGAGAAATAGCAAATAAGCGGTATGAATACTGGCTGACAGGGAGCATGGTCTTCCCTTTGCCACAGTAGCAGAACCTTCTTGGTGTGCAAAATTAAAGTAAAGCCAAAAAGTAAACCCAAAAAGCTGTTTTCAATGCCCATTTGTGCAGACACAGTACAGTTTACCAAAACACATTTCAAAATACCGTATCTGTTGTAGGAAACTATTATCAAGCTTATGAATTCAATTTTAACAGCCAAGGTATTACCACCTATAATGTAAATATGAAAAGGCATATGTACTTTAACACCGTAAGCCCTGTAAAACTTCCAGCACATCCATCATTTTATCCTTGCAAGTGGTACCCTCAACAACAGTTTGAGTCATGCTGCATGGACGCCACCATTTTGTAATGGAATTTCCCCAAACAGTATTACCTCACATACGTGTGTGAGTTCACACCAGTGGAGGCATTCCGGTAGCACACAGCTTCCCTCAGTACTACACCACTGCTTGAAGGAAAATCTTAATTTTTAATCTAACAGAAGATACGCAATATTCCCGCATAAACAAGTTTAGTGCACTCTAGGAAGATTTCAACGTAGACAACGTACAGGAGTGGGAATGTAATCAGGTTGTTCTTCCGGGTAAATTTTATTATACTCAAAAGATAAAATACCTAGATATATTATAGCTAAACTTGTCAAAGAAGCAGTATTTCATTAGATACTCAGATCTCATTGACATTCAATTGAAGTTGAATGCTTAACTCTCTTTGGTACCTTTGAAATACTAACCAATACCCCTGTTTAAAAAAATAAATAAAGTTACCCACTGATGATAACAGGGGTCAGCAATGAGTAATTCTGCTATTATACACAAGGCTTATGATACAAAATATATGATGCTTTTAAACAGAGTTTTAATAATTACATCTTAGTACTGTCTTAATTAGGACATTTTATTAAAAAGTTACCTATTGCACGAATATGGACTGTTTAAACTTTGTTCATGTTAGCACCACTAGGAGATCCAGGCTATCCAGGGTTTCGGCTATCAACAGCTTGCAGCACTTTTTAAACCTAACTTGCCAAAATCAGTAGGTGTCACTATGCTGAAAAATCTTGTTAATGGCTCAAAAGCACACCTACAGCAGGTCTACTAATACTAACATCAATTCAGCTGCACTCAGGTTTGTACTAGTAGGAATTTTTGGATAAAATTCCATAGTATGCACATCATCCTGACTTTGACATTGAAAAATTGTTAATAGGAACACAACTAATCTGTGTTTATGACAAATTCATATAACCAGTTCTGATGAGATCTTGATGTGAAGGAGAAAACAGGAGATCCTCAAAGCCCTAGAGAGAGAGCCCCAAAGAGAAAAGGCAACCAGGAATAACATTTTAATAGTCATCTTCTGAGCATGGACCACTGCTCCAAGACCTGTTTTATACCATAATGTCTTTAGCGGTACAGACTGAAACTAGCTTATGTACCAAACACTATAGACTCTGGACAACAGTATCTTATCTAATAGACTGTTTTATCTACATTAAATATCATGCTCACTATTCAATTAGAAAAAAATAAACTCTATTCTATAACTGCTGTACATACATAGGCTACAGTGGTACAGTTTACAATGTAGATATGTTTTCTAATATTTACACAAGATAATAGATGAGATGCTACCATTAGTGCATACATAGATATTCACAAACTGCAAACACTTCTTATGGAACTGTTAAAATATAGTGTCACCTCACATACCTTTATAATTGTTCTCTTGTTTTATTTTTTGTTTATGCTATTAAAAATAGCTTCACAAATGCAAAATCCAAAAAGATCTGTGAACATAAACCCAACATTTATACAAGGTTTACCATCTAACTTAAAAGTCTGAAAAGCCATGAAAAAACGGAGCTGATGCTAAAAATTAGGCTTACTCTCAGCATAAACAGGAGGTTGAAGAAATGACTGCTATAGATTACACTAAGAACTGAATTTCAATCTTGTTTTATGCATTTAATTCACACCCTTTATGCGTTTAATTTACACCTTTAGGATCTGTAGTTGACTTCAATTTGTGCGAGCAGCTTTATGTGCAAGTTGTTAGAGATGTGTCAAACACAAACTTTTTTTTTTTTTTTTTAAACACAAAAGCTTTAGGGGATTTCATGTTTTGATATCAAAAGCCAAATCAGAAAAAAAGTAGATACATAATTTTGGCCAGGTATCTCTGTGTTAGCTTAAAAAAAGGTTGTGGGAGAATACCTATCTGCTCTATGAAGAAAAATCTTCACTTTTCTTCCAAAGAAACATAGGCACTTTACCCAAGAGCCATCCATTATTCTTCTTTTCCACCCACATAAAAAATGCTTCTTTAGCAACAAAATGGTTAATTTGTATTGAGTATTTTTGTTAACTGTTTTCTCAAAAAATTCCAGTAATAACGTTTTATGTTTCTGGTTAGCCAGCAGTTCACAGCTCTACTTTTTTCCTCCAACGTTTTTGTATTGATAATTAAATATGAAACAGATATACCAATAGCCATGTAAATATCAACAAGGGCATGTCTACACAGCAGCGTTATTTTGGAATAACTGATGTTATTCCAAAGTAACGTGGTGCGTGTCTACACACCAAACCCACAGTTTAGAAATAAATTTGAATTACTCCAACTTCTGTTAACCTCATTGTATGAGGAGTAAGGGAAGTCAGGGGGGGAGCGCACAATAAGTGCTGTGTAGATGCACCCAAAGACAAAATAAGCTATTTCCACTTAAGCTACGCAATTGACGTAGCTCAAGTTGCATAGCTTATTTCAAGTTTAGCCCTGCTGTGTAGAGATTCCTTAAGTGACACATTTTTAAAACTTGCACCTTGTAGATTTGGAAATGTAACCCTTTATTTTTATATAGGTACCTGCTTATGCACAGTTATGCATGAACAGGGATAAAAACACCTTTTAGCTGTTACTTGTATAACAAAATTAGCCATTATATTTTTTATAATGTTTAGAAAATAATTAACAAATAAAAACATACAAATGAGCTGTTTGGTTCCCTTCCCGCCCCACCCCCACTCCAACTCCCCTCCTTTTTTTTTTTTTTTAAACCTAGGCCTCCTCCACTTTGTTTTAAAAAGCAGCAGGCACTTAAAACCTGATTAGTAATATGCAAAGAGCCAAAAGCAATGGAAAAGAAGAATAATCAATTGCTCTTTGGGACATCATCTGCATTTCTTTGGAAGAAAATTCAAATGTTTTCCTTCATGCAAGCATGTTTGCATTCTATAATCATCTCTTAATTTAAACTACCACAGATCTATCTGCCCAATAAGGAATAGTCTTGCCTACACAGCTGTGAAAATACTAGCAAGAGTGTTAAAATCTTTTGAAAGCAAAGATTTC